TACATACATACAAACATACACACACATACATACATACATACATACATACATACATACATACATGCATGCATGCATGCATGCATGCATGCATGCATGCAAACATGCATACATATATACATACATGCATGCATACAAACGTACATACAGACATACGTACATGCATACATACATATAGGCTTGTATGCATGCATGTATGTTCAATTGCTTGTTTGTACGCTTATGTTCGATTGGTCGTTCGCTAATATGTAGATCTATATATATTTTTTCAAACCCTAAACATTAAGCTATATCCGCGCTTCGAGTCGTGGGCACTAAACTCCGACCACTATCTAACTGCGGGACAGGGCTCACTGTTGATATAATCTCGAATTTTGATTGATCACAGTTCACTTGAGGTCAAGCTTTACGGTTCAAGTTTCACACTGAGCCTCACAACACATACATATGTAGTTAGAACTAGTTTACCTGTTTATTCATGCTTCACCGTGGAGGGCTTTCATTGGGGACGCCGATCAGAAAGAAAAACAAATCCGGAAGCAGGCATGATCACCGAGGCCTAGATCTCGTGCATCTCAGAGAAACTTGCTAATCCCTAGCATGGTACTTCTGCTCATGCCCTTACATATCCCAAATTGCTGATACGGGATTGTGCTTCTGTGCCAACTGCTCATGTTCTGCATAGCCCGGAAAACCTTATTCCGAAGTCGAGCCCGCCTTCCTGAGGGCTCGGGCCGCCTCGTGCAGAACCTGTGCACTCCATGTGTCGGCTTCAAGCCCAAAAGGCATTCCCGACCCGAGGAGTGGTGTAGAAAGACACAGCAGACGCGATGACTGAATGAGGCTGAAGGGATGTTGGTACAGCGAACCCAACTCTTCCTAACACCAAAGCCTGTAGATCAACACCACACTAGGGACGGGCCTGATTTGCAAGCGCTTTCGCTTTGGCTAGGCCTGCAGCCCTCAATAGAAAAAAGCTTAGCAATAGCGGTAGCTACGCTATGACAGCGGCACTGCAGTGCGGCAGCAGTGGCAGCAGCAGTAGCAGTAGCAATAGCAGCAGCAGAGGCAATGGATGCACGTCCTGGTAACAGTTAGTGGGGTGATAGTGGTTTCAGGAGTACTAGAGTGGCAGGAGTGGAGTAGGAGTAGTGGTCGTCGTCGTAGTCGTAATCGAAGTCGCAATCGTATCAGTAGCAGTCGACGACGTCGTCCAGCAGTCTAAACATCCAGGTACCAAATCCCAATCGCCAGAACACGAGCCCTAACATTCAACGTCCGAAACAGAGACCAAACCTTAATCCCCTACGGTTTAGGGTTTAGGGTTTAGGACCCAAACCTGAAATCCGAAGCCCTGCATCCCAAACGGCCGCCTCGCGCTGAGTGTTCCGTATGTACCGGGTGGTCACAGAACGCCCCCGCTTGTCGCGGTGTTCCGGCTCCTGGTGTGGTAGGTAGTGGGGTTTTTGATTTAGGGTGGAACAGGCGAGTGGGGTTTCGGATGAATTGCCTGTAAGCCGTTTAATACAGCCAGGTCTCTCTTGCGCCGCAGGTTTTAGTACGGAAAAGGGCCGGTTGTATCAGGGGTAGATCATACCATGAAGCCCATTCGACTCGACTGATAAAGGTTCCCATATAACGCGAAACTCTAGATCGCTGAATAGTTCCTTTCGGAACATCTTCGGTTCATTTAGCACGACTCCCGAACCAAACAATCGAACGTCACAAAACTAAGCGGCTTATTATCGATGCCTGTATAGTCAGAATAGGGGTGTATATCACATTCTGATAAAAAAAGGGGTTTACGTTGAAACTGTTGCTCAATCTTCCAACCCCTGTACAAGTCTTAATGTAGAAGCCGTAATAATTAGAATATGTGTCGGTGTACTTATATTCTACAATAACTATAATAACGAACCCCCAAAATAGTATTGGCAAGTATTCCGGCGCCCTATATTGCTCCTCGTCATCGCTAGCATCGGAGCTGCTGGTGGAAGCTCGCAGCGCTGCTCGCACTCGGGAATCTGCGCGATTGCCGACGTGTTCAGGTCTCAACGGTTTAAGGTTTACGGTTAAGGGCTTTAGGGTTCCAAAAGCACTTCAAGAAAGACTTCAATGGTGGGTGACCAGCTTGCAGAGAAAGGACAGACAGACCTGTATTTGGAGTAGTACAGTTATTTTATGCTGCCCCGCCGGTCTCAAGGTCAAGCAGATCTAAGGCTTTTTTTTGTATGAGGTTTCCCCAGCGATCTTTTGTGGAAGTCCTAGGGGCTTGTTGTTTTCAGATTACGGCCAATGGTGTTATTCATAGTCTTGTTTGCTGGCTAAATATTATTTTGTGCTTTCATTGTCATGGGGCTTATAGGGTGGTATCTCCAGAGAAGCAATGAAAAAGCAAGAGAGGCCATCGCCGCAACCAGCAGCACTGAGGTCAGTAATGTAGGTAAGTGATGGGAAGAAGTCCATATCGCCTCAGTCGCGTCCTCGAAAATAGCTAACACGGCATTGAAAGCGCAACGTATGCTTGCTACGAGGACACGAAGGGCGCTGGGTGGAATCCAACTAGTGAAGCTCGTCAAAATGAAATCAGTCAAACAATCAACTCAGAAACTTCCAGACAAGTAGCTGCGACGCAGCTGGCGGCGGCTCTGAGCAACGTCTACCTTCCTGCCAGGATTCAGTGCATGCGTGTAGAATCCACCTCCCTACCACCCCCCTACCCCATCTCCCCTGCCACTCACGAACACTACGTCTAAGACTAAGACTAACAGCTACCACAGAGACAACTATAGCATACCAAAACGAGAACGACTGCTCACACTCATACTCTGACTCGTACTAATGCTAATACTGGTGCTAATACTAGTAACGAGTACTGAGAACAATAATACCAAAACTTGTAAATATGACTCCATAAAAACATAGTCCTAATACATCCTAATACCAAATCATCACTAATTAGTACCCATCAGAACCCTGAAGTGCATCTCAGACTCGGGCCTCTGAACGTCAGCGGGTGAAGGGACCTGCTTCAGCGCCGACTTCAGCGCCGCCTGGACGACTTCCCGGCGACGGAATTTCAGCATTCGCGCTGTCAGGTGAAGGGTGCCAGAATGACATGGTAAGTGAAGAGTAGTCTGGACAGCATAAGGAACATATTGCATTTCTAACCAGACGCCTGATTGATATCACAAATCCCGTGTGACATTCCACCCCACCTAGAAATTAGTGTCGGTATTAAATTAAGTTTGCGGGTGCCGGCACTACTGACTGACCACTATGCTAGATGCTGTTATTTTGCTTACTGCGGACATTGCAATTACTTAAAGCAGCCCAGCTGCCCATCTTGTTTTCATGGCTGCTGCGGCTCTGCATACTAAGACACAAACAAACATACATGCGTGCATACATACATACGTACATACATGCATACGTACATACATGCATCCATCCATGCATAGATACATACATACATACATGCATACATACATACATACATACATACATGCATACATACATACATGCATGCATCCATCCGTACATATATACATATAGACATACATATATACTTACGTATACATACATACATACATACATACATACATACATACATATACATGCATGCATGCATGCATACATGCATACATGCATACATGCATACATGCATACATGCATACATGCATACGTACGTGCATACGTACATACATACATATACATACATACATACATACATACATACATACATACATACATACATACATACACCCATGTATGCATGCATACAGAGCTGCATGCGCACACTGCGCAGACACAAACAAACCAGCAAGCAAGCAAGCAAGCGAGCAAGCAAGCAAGCGAGCAAGCGAGCAAGCAAGCAAGCAAACGAGCAAGCAACCAACGAGCAAAAACACAAACAAACAAACAAACAAACAAACAAACAAACAAACAAACAAAAAAACAAACAAACAAACAAACAAACAAACAAACAAGCACGTGCAAGTATGTGCCGCAGCCGACGAAATTATTTGGTTGTGTAGACTCACGGCTCCATAATCCAAATGCAGACGTTGCCAAGTTGTCAACCAGCAAAAACGAAAGGAAATATCCCCAGGACCCATTATCGTGACTGAGCTTTGCGAAGTTGAGACTGTGGGCCTAGGGTAGGGCTATGGTTAAGGGTTTACATCCTTAGGACTGGTAAGCCCAGAACCCAGAACCTTAAAGCGCTGCGGGATCGGTTGGGCTGCCTGGAAGGTTGCAAGTTGTTGAAAACGTGTTGGGTTCGGACGGGTGTAGGGCGTCGTAGCTCTATAATATATGTTTCAAAAAGTCCTTAGGTTTCTGTTCTTAACATATGTGTGGTGGTCACCGTGCAGATCTGCTTCTGCAGGCCTGAGACGTCAAATTGCTACTGCCATCACGGAGTGCCTCTGACAGCCCAGGTTTAGGGTTTAGGGTTTAGGGTTTAGAGTGCCTCTGACAGCACAAGGCTTGCGACCAAGATCTGACGCCATCCGGACTAAAATGGTGGCTACTAGTCTTAAAACTGTTATTGTTATTGTAACTATTTCTATGGTTATTAGTTATAATTAATGCAAATATTGATGTTATTGTTGTTAATACGATCCTTATCATTATGATTCACTCCGTGGGCCTTCTTAGGGGCGGCAAGGCTGGCTGGTGTCCCCGAAGCGTCTTTGACAGGAACCTTGGAGCAACTGGTTAGGGTTTAAAGGACTTTAGGGGCTTAGGGTCTAGGGGTTTAGGGCTTTAGGGGTTTTTGGGCTTAGGGTTCCCGAGTATGATATGTAGAACCCGACATCTGATGCGGTTCATGTGAGGAGGCTCAAATGGCTCTGGGGCGGAGGTGATAGTGATTCCCCACCAGCTAAACCCTAAACCTTCGATCCTAAACCCTCAAAAGTTAGACCTGAATCCTCTTACCCTAACCCCCCAGGTACCTAGATTATAGGGCACTAGAGCCCCTACGGCCCTATATAGTAGGTACCTGTGGGGTTAAAGTGCTCAAGGCCAAGGCCCATCTTACGAGCGCAATACTCAAACCGATGCGAGGTTGGTATGTAAGGTAGGGGTAAGGCGGGGGGTCGGGGGCTCGAGGGGTGATGAAGGTTCATAACACGAGCTTCGTCAGTAAAAATGTGGCTTAGGACTCTTTGTGACACTGTCGTGTCATGGGCTTTAGCATTCGAGATGTTTAGGCTTGGAAGGCTTGACGGCATCGAGGTTGGTAGATCTGAGCCACCTGTCAATTACTGCTGCAGGGCCATTGTAAGGCTTGCTTTCGTGTGGATAGTTAACTACCAACAAAAGCAGCAGCAACAAGCATCATCACGCCACTGAGTCTAGAAAACAGCAGGCAAAGTGTCCAGTGTGTGGCGTACGAGTACAAGGATGCGAAACCTTGTGACGGGAAACTATATGGACAACCAAGAAGTGAAGTCGCCAAGACCACGGAGGTTTACGCTGTGAGGTCCGAGTCACTAGCCCTGCGAAACAGCAGCTCTGGCCCATCGCAGGAACACTATCGCGAAGACCAGGAAGACGACCGAAAAGTGCTGGCTCATGTTGCCGCGCGTGTAGGTTTGAGGACTTGTGGGGTTCAGAGTATCAGGTTTAGCATTTTGAATCTCCGGCATGCGCCACCTCATGAATGTCAGCCGCGAGTCTGAACCAACACGGCTACGGGCCGAACATCGGACATCGTGCGGTGGCACCGTTTACCCTTCGGCACTGCCAAAACAACCCCTAAACCCTAAACCCCTAAACCCTAAACCCCTAAACCCCTAAACCCTCAACCCTAAACCCTAAACCCTAAAACCCTAAACCCTCAAATTCCGTGTCCAAGGAAGGTCCGGGTTCAGGCTGGACTGCTTTTAGGTCTTCAGCGCGTGAGGGCTGAGGCTTTCGCAGTTTTCGGCTTCCTTCCAGGTCCTCTCCTTCTAGGGCTTAAGGTACAGGGCTTTGTGGGTTTCGGGCTGAATTTCTTAGGCTATTTAGGGTTACGGGTTTTTGAATGCAGGGCTTCAGCTTCCGCTTTAGGGTTATAGAGTTGCGGGCGTACTTTAGGCCTTGTAAGGGTTTGGGTTGATTGAAGGCGGCAGACTCAAATTCCGTAAGCGCGAGACTTCGTATGTTGGGCATTCGGCGCCTCAGTGCCGTGACTTACTTGGGCTGTCTGACTGCGAACAGCCAAATTCACCATGAGCAGGATACCCATACACCAGAAAATTGAAAAACAAGAAGGAACACAAAATAAATCCTAGACACTAGGATGACTGAAATATGGCCCTTTTAACTTTAAACGCGGTATCCGTCAGATTCAGATACAAGCTTCAAACTACCACATTTAAAACTCTATAAAGCCCTGCATTGCATCATCTCCTTGTCACAAAACCAAAAACAACCGTAACAGCACCTTCCTAAATCCTAAACCCCCTAAACCCCTTAACCCTAAAAATTATAACCCTCAACCTTATAAGTCCAGAAGCAACCCTGAAACCCTGAACCCTAAACCCTAAACCCCAAACCCTAAAGCCTACACCGTAAATCCTAAACCCCAAACCCCTAAACCCTAAACTAAAACCCCACTAACCCCAAACCCCTACACCCTAAAAGCCCCTAAAACCCCAAACTCCCAGAAAGGTCCCGGGCCTCCGCCGCGGCCTTGGCCGCCACGGCCGCAGCCGATTTGGAGCTCAAAGCTCGGCCGAGCTCTTCGGCCTGCTCGAAGTGATTGAAGTTTAGGGTTTAGGGTTTAGGGTTTAGGGTTTAGGGGTTTAGGGGTCTAGGGGTTAGGGTTTAGGGTTTAGGGGTTTGGGGGAAAAAGGGTTTATAGGGATTCAGGGTTTTGGGGTTTAGGGTTTAGGGTTTTTCGGCCTGCTCTAAGCGATTTTAGAAACCCGAAACCCTGAAGTATTGGCGCTGAAAGGCATGAGCCCTAAGCAGCCATGTTCTTTGCATGGAGGCGTTTAGATAATGTAGGGGCCTTCATAATTAGAATAGGCTTTCGGGACAATTACACTATAATTATAATAAGGAGCCCCGAAAATAATTGTATCGGTCATGATTTAGGCCCCTACATTGCACCTTATAAACCCTAAACCCTGAGCCCTCAACCGTTTCATGCTGGGGCTGCTGTAGTTGAGTTTTTGTCTAAGGTTTAGAGGTTCAGGGATAAGATGAGACACCCTAAACCCTAAACCCTGTACCGTCAGACGAAATTCTAGGTTTAAGGCATATAGGGTTTGGGGTTCAAGACTTTAGGGCTGTTAGGGTTTAGGGTTTTCTATGCGCCTTTGTGTGTAATTCAGGGGCCTGAATACATGGAATAGGGTTTTGGGGGTCCATATTAATACAACAAAACTGAGGCATTCGGGCCTCTCCAGTAGCAGGACGAAAGGGGTGCCTCCATGTTCTTCGTGCAGGGGACACCTACAAAACATGACCGAAGAAAGAGAAACGAACCTGTGACTGTATGGTTCATTCATGGGACTCATAAAAAGGGTATTATTACTCAGTTCTCAGGCCTCCACAGTAAAACATGAGCCCAAGCCCTTTTCTCATGAACTCTCAAATCGCCTCGTCCGCACCCTTCTGAAACCCTTCTAAAACCACCTCACCTCATACAAACCCTTGTCAGATCTACCAACCCTCAACTCCTAAACCCTAAACCACAAACCCTCAACTCCTAAACCCTCAACCCTGAACCCCAAAACCCTCAACTCGCAAACTCTAAATCCCTCAACTCCTAAACCCAAAACCCTCAACTCCTAAACCCTAAACCCTAAACCCTAAAACCCCTCAACTCCTAAACCCTCAACTCCAAAACCCTAAACCCTCAACTCCTAAACCCGAAACCCTCAACTCCTAAACCCGAAACCCCTCAACCCTAAACCCCAAAACCCCTCAACTCCTAAACCCTAAACCCTAAACCTCAAACCCCAAAACCCTAAACTCCTAAACCCTCAAACCCCTCAACCCC